AAGCTAGCAGGTGTTTTGAATTCTCGTGGTCCCAACAGCGGAAGGGTACCAGGCACGGGTAAGCCTTTTACGAGATCACCGAGTGCTCAACACTCGGCTGGAAGAATAAAAGGGATGCAATACAAGCACTCCCAGTCGTGCAAATAGGCAACAATAAGCCGTCACGTAAAACCTCCCGATAGTAATCGGCCAAAATACACAGTCTCTTGGCCTTGCCGGATGAACCCTCGATACAGAGCTTCGAGTTCACCGACAGGCATAACACACTCAAACAAGCTTGACCAGACGCTTACCTTGAAGCCGGACGTCGCTCTGTGTGCTTGAGTGGAAATTCTGTTCTGTATTTAAGCTTACCCTTTCGGGTCTATTCCTAATAAGAAGTCCTAATCAAGTATACAAATATCAAGTGAGCAATGATCCGTTATGGATCTTCTTGCATGCCAAGCGTCGTCTGCACCGTCGCATGAGCATCTTTAACGGTCCGCGCCCTGTCCCAGACGGTGAACGTGCCTTCCAAGGGTCGCTGAGTCTTCCGCGAACTCATCCCAACCGCCACTGAGGGTTCGTACCGTAGATGGTCCGCTGAATGCGAATCCGGCCAGTCCAGTATTAATAATAAGGACAGCCTGGATTCAGTGACATATGCCCGTATCCAATGCTCGTTGAATGTTCGGAGGTGACACCGTCGAGTCCCTTGCACCTTGGCGTCTCCGTACATCACCTGACCGAGGGTTCGTCGCTTGAACAACTTGGGCGGTGTCACGTCTTTGTCGACGGGTGATAATCCGCAACTACGGAGAAATCACTACACCACAACTGCCCCTGTCGCAATGGAAGCCACGGTACTGGTGCCCGTTGTGACATTTCTTCACTCTTCAATTCACCATCTCGCCACAGTATGTCCAAGCGTCTGAATCGAGCCGTGTCCGACGCTTTTCAGCGTCTCAATCCTCGTAGACGTCGCGAACGTGAGCAGCTGGAGGTACGTAAGCCCATCCTTCTCCTGAATCATCGGTACCTTGCTCATCACTTCGTATTACTCGACTTGTTTCTCAGGAGGGCAAGACCGAGGGTTCGAACGCCCCTCAGTCTGCTGCACTTCCTCCGACAGCAGTGTCATCAACCGACCCTCCGGCGCCCGCTGCCCCGGACTCTTCACTCCCTGTGGTAGCTCCTGCAGCACTCCCCGTCGTCGCTGAACCCGCGGAGATGGCTCCTGCTGCTCCTCCTGCCCCAGCTGGTGGTCCCCCACCACTCACCGAAGATTCGCTGCGCGCCATGCTGGCTGAGAATACGGAGGCATCGGTCGATCACATGATGACCTCGATAATCCCGTACTTGACTGCAATGGCTCGTCACCAAGTGCAGCTCAGCGTTGCGCCTCCTCTCCACGGCGATATACACACTCAGCGTCGCCTCGAGACTGCCGTTGGTTTCGATGATGTCCTCGCTGCGATACAACCTGGTCCTGACGCGCTGTCGGCATTACCAGAACGAGTTGCCGACTTGGAGCGTCAGTTGCGGTTTGCTCAGTCCGAGGCTGCTGCCGCCGTACGTTCGGTGGCACCCCACATCATGGCTCGTGAGAACGCGGAGACATTCCTCAAGGCTGCCAACGCTGAAATTGAAGCCTTACACCACAACATCAAGATTCTCCGCGAGTCGAACGCCAAGAATGACGCCATGCTTGCAAGTGTTCAAGCTACTATGGAGCGACACGCAGAGGATTTGAATCGTCTTCACTGCGAAGTCCAAGCTCGGGACGTTTTTATCAGCACGTTGCAGAAGAAGCTGGCTCGCGAACGCGAGGTGTACAAGTCTTCTATTGGCGCGAATACTGAGCAGACCCGGAAGCTCCACCTCCTTCTGGTAAAGCCTGCCCAGGGCAAGTATGTCGATAACGACACGCTCAAGGTCCTCGAGAACCAGCAAGACCGTAACACTCGCCTCCTCCAAGCGAATCGTACCCTCCGTGCACACGTGAGTCTGGCAGGGATGGATCCCGAGGTATTCGTCTGGCTGGCGAAGGTACGCTCTTAATGTCGCTCCTTCCACCGTGTGTTCAGCAACTAACGTTCGTTCACAATCCTTCGTGATATGTCTGACTGCGGGTGAGCTGGACCTGGATGCGCTGGACTTGGATCAGGAGACGTTAGGCTCTCAGCGGCGTATTCAGTCTGCCACCGCGTCTTCGGACAATCCTCAAGCCCTTCCGGCAGCTTTGGCCAAAGCAGCTCACCAAGTGGCCCATGGGAAGTCCCATAAGCGTCTTAGACCAGGTGGCGAGGATTCAGACGACGATCCGGACGACTCTGACGAAGTCTGGGCTCCAATCCCAACGGACAAGGCCAGTGCTTCGATGGCAGCTGCCGGTCTCGGTGATGCGCCACCTGCCGATACTTCAACTCCCAAGTCGGCTCGTAGATCGCTGTTCGGTCCGAAGGCGTGGAAGAAGGCGGCCCAGAAGAAGCGCAAGAAACCCCGTCCTCATTCTCCTGCTAAGTCGCCACGACGTCATATGAAGACTCGGTCCAAGTCTGTACCGTCTTCTCCAAGTTCATGGTCGCCACCTCCCACACCAGCGTCTTCCTCGACTCCCGCAGTGGTCGACCTCAGCGGCGACCAGAGTGACGTGCACATGGGGACTGCTGATCCAGGCAGCGTTCCCTTCGGTTCAAGAAACTGCTACAGAGCCTTCGTGTAAGGACGTGTACCCTGAGGATCTCGACGATGTTCCTGTCTCTCCTGACGCGCCTTCGCCCCCCGCGTCAGGGTCCACACGAATGTGGGCAAGTCACTAACTTCAGGGATTTCGCCTTCTACAGCCGACATACGTGCTGCTGAAGAGGCTCTGCGCGAGGCCG